TGCTAAAGCTGAGGGCGGGGAGAGAGGAGGAGGTGCAGGAGGTGCGGGGGAGGGTGCCTTTTCTTCCCTCCCTCCCTCCCTTTCTTCCTTCCTTCCTTCCTTCCTTCCTTCCTTCCTTTCTTCCTTCCTTCCTTCCTTCCTTCCTTCCTTCCTTCCTTCCTTCCTTCCTTCCTTCCTTCCTTCCTTCCTCCCTTCCTTCCTTCCTTCCTTCCTTCCTTCTTTCCTCTTTCTTCCTTCCTTTCTTTTTGAGATGCAGTTTCACTCTTGTTGCCCAGGCTGGGGTGCAGTGGCGCGATCCCTGCAACTTCTGCGTCCTGGGTTCAAGTGATTCTCCTGCTTTAGCCTCCCAAGTAGCTGGGATTACAAGCAAAAACCACCATGCCCGGCTAATTTTTGTATTTTTAGTAGAGATAAGGTTTCAACTTGTTGGCCAGCCTGGTCTCAAACTCCTGACCTCAAGTGATCTGCCCTCCTTGGCCTCCCAAAGTGCTGGAATTACAAGCGTGAGCTACCCGCACCTGGCTGATGGCACCTTATTTTTTGCTGCTGGGATGGATATTCTGCTCGAGCCCTAAGTCTGCTGACCAGCCCTTGCCCTTGAGAAGGGGAAGAGGTAATGGGGACACAAGGTTGGGGAGATGGCCTCACAGGAGAAGCCCAGCACCCCATCAAGTTTCCAGAGGCTGGCTGGGCTTGGTGGCTCATGCCTGTAATCCCAGCACTTTGGGAGGCCGAGGCGGGCAGATCACCTGAGGTCAGGAGTTCGAGACCAGCCTGGCCAACACGGTGAAACCCCATTTCTACTAAAAATACAAAAATTAGCTGGCCATGCCTGTAATCCCAGCTGCTCAGGAGGATGAGGCAGGATAATCGCTTAAACCTGGGAGGCGGAGGTTGCAGTGAGCCAAGATCGTGCCACTGCACTCCAGCTTGAGCAACAGAGCAAGACTCTGTCTCAAAAAAAAAAAAAGTTTCCAGAGGTCAGTAAGGTGTCCCAGGCGCTCTAAGCTATTCCCCTGAGGGACTTACCAGGGGCTGCTGGAGTAGGAAGTAATGGGCACAGGAGGAATGAGGCTGGGTACCTGGTCTACAGGGTCAAGTGTCCCCTGAGGGGTTTGGAAGGCAGACACTTGCTCTTTCCCCAGGTGTCCACTGGGCTTACTCCCAGACCCATTCAATGGTTGCTCAAATGTTGCCTCCGCAGACAGACCTTTCCTGATCAAACAGTACTCACTAGTCTTTTAGATCCTTACTCTGCCTTATTTTCTTCATTGCACTTAATACCACCTGCCATTACATTTAGTTGACCCATATGAAAGTATTAAATACCAGCATTTTAAATCATTTGTTTATTGAGACAAGGTCTCCCTCTGTTGCCCAGGCTGGAGTGCAGCTCACTGCAGCCTTAACCTCCCAGGCTCAAGCAATCCTCCCACCCCAGCCTCCCGAGTAGCTGGGACCACAGGCATGTGCCACCATACTTGGCCAATTTTTACTATTAGTAGTAGTAGTAGAAACGGGGTTTCAACATGTTGTCCAGGCTGGTCTCAAACTCCTGTTCGCAAGTGATCCTCCCGCCCCAGCCTCCCAAAGTGCTGGGATTACAGCCATGCGCTACCACGCCCAGCCAACAAATAAATGTTGAACGAATGGGTCAATGAATCCTTGGGCTGAGTATCTGGCAAAAAACTTAATAGAGGAGTTGGATGTGAGTTGGAGCTGACTCTCACCGAGGGGACCATTTCTGGGGCAGGGACTGGACAGCCAAAGGGCAGGAGCTGGGGTTGGGCAGCTGGAGTACCCGGGCAGAGCTGACACAGTCCACTGGGGAAGGAGCCTCTGGTGAGAAACCTACTGTGTGCCAGGCACTGAATTGGACACTTTTCTAGTCATCTCTTTTAGTCTTCACAACAGTCCTGTGACATGGGTCTTATCACCCACTCTCATTTTACAAATGAGAAAACTGAGGCTTAGAGGAGCTAAGTAACTTGTGTAAGATCACACAGCTTACCACCCCACAGAGCAGCCCACATCTGCAGTCTTTCTTCTGCATCTCCCTGCCTCCTTGCAATTTTGCTTGTTTCATGGAGTTTTGACAGCCCCAAAAGAGCATGGGAATCTCTAGAGCTGGGGCCAGAGCTCCAGGGCTCCCTGGCCTGTCCTACCCCCACAGGACCCCAGATGTGTCATGCTTTTTCATTTCTGTGGCGGTCTCATGGTGAGGATGTCCGTGCTGGCCCATCCTCATTATGGCGAGGAGGTTCATGCTGGTCCTGCTATTTGGGGCAGAGAGGGTGGCTGCTGTGCTCCTGGGGCAAGATGGGGTCCAGGTGGCCAGGATAGGGGACATGACAGCCTCATAGCTTTGTGGGGCTTTTGTCTCAATCTCTAAGAAACCAGTCATCAATTCCCACACCATGTCTCTGCCTCCAGAGGCTCACAGGCTGACTAGGAAGACAATGCAACAACAGCAGCCACTTCTCAGGCACTAGCTGGGCACCAGGCATTCTAGTTGGCGGTTAAATGTGCAGAGTTAGGAGCCAGATGCCAGATATGAAGATCATATTCACCACTTTCTTAGGTATGTGTGACCTTGGGCAAATTACTTAACCTCTCTGGGCCTCAGTCTCTCCATCTGTACCAGGGGAATAATTACATTGGAATAGACCAAAGCAGCCCTGATATCTGGGAGCTGCCTGGTCCTATCAGCCAGGACTTGGTTACTCAGAGCTGTCCAGCTTGGTGCAATTCGGTCTTGCTATGCTGAACATAGACAATTTCACAGACATCAGCATCGAACAAGGCCATCCGTGAACAGGGCAGACTAACACAAAAATGAAACTACTCCATAATCATATCTGAACATAGACAAAACATGAATATTGTCAAACCACAGAAATGACCCAAATCCCCCTGTAGAGCTAAGCTGAGTGGAGGCTGCTGGTTTACCAGCCGTAGCTTCAGCCTTGCTCTAGTCTGCTTTCCTTCTAGGCAAGATGTGTTAAGACTCCCAATCACAGTGTTACCTCCATTTCCTGACAGCATCAACCCAGAACAAAACCTCACTTCCTTAACCCCTTCCCAATCACCTAACACAGCTCCAAACATTAGTAACGCCCCCTTCCTGGGGCGCCCCATGACCCCCATGGTGCATGCTCTCCCTTGTTGCAAGGAGTCATCAGCTCAGCTTGTTCCCCCACACGCGTGTTTCTGGTGATCTCTGGTTGGAGGCATTGAAAGTTCCTACCTCATTGGGTTGTTGTGAGGAATATACTTGAAATGATACAATTCTAAGGCTCTTTCAATATGCTTGTCACACTTTAGTATTATCCCCATTTCACAAGGAGGACACTGAAGTTCAGAAAGAGGACCAAACTTTGCCCGAGGTCACACAGGAGGTAATGACAGAGAAGGGATGTACATTCAGGTCTCATTCCAAAGCTGGTTTCCTGAACCCCTGCCTCCATGCTCATAGGGCACAAGCCAACAGGACAACCTTGGGTTGGTGTCTAGGGAGGAGAAGAGCAAAGGGCCCTTGGAACTCAAAAGAAGAGAGCCTCAGGCTGGAGAGGCAGGGTATCGAGGATGACCTGAGTCACCCTCTCCTCCTCCCGTCCCTTTCATGACTCCCCCAGCTGGATCCTCCAAGGGCTCCCTCCCAGGCTACCTGGCTGCTGAGCAACACAGGGCCAGTCAGGCCCAGAGTGGGGGTCAATGTCAGCAGAGTCGGAGGCCTGAGTCACTTCCTGACCCTTGCTCAAGAGCATCCGGAGCCACAGCCAGAGTGGCCACTCGTGCCCTCAGAAGGTCACACCCACTTGGGCCATGAGCATGTCTTTGGTATCCCCACCTTCCCCAACTCTGCCCCGCTCAGGTGTTTAAGACATGCAGCACCGGC